AACCGATTCACATTAACTAGGTTAATGTGACTACAATAATTATAGAGAAGAAGAAACCAATGGGGAACCAGGGGGTCAGTAGTGCCATCACAACAAAAATCATCATGAGGCCACAACAGAGCCGGGATCTCAGATGACAGTTCTGCCAACCGTGATGGAACAAATCGCCTTTTTATGGTTGCATGTGTGATTATCATTGGGCCCTGCATCACTGGTAGCTGGGGGGGAGCTGAATATATATATCATTCATAGATGACTTAGCATTTAGTAAATAAGAAAAGGTTGGTAGAAAAGTTTGGGTCACCACATGTAGGCCAACACACACACACACAAGTGAGTGTGCGAGCATCCACTTAAGTCAGACAAATCTGCCTGTAAACAAACATACAGTAACATAGCTGCCAAAAAAGGGTAGGAGCAGTACAAAAAAGGTTTTTAGAACTGACGGAGTAATTTAGCACACAAGATGTGTACATACAAAGTGACTCATAAGCACACACATACCCACACATATGCATAAACACAAGTACACACAAAGGCACACAGCCTACTAACTGTTAGCGGCTCATATAAACAGAAACCACCCTCGTACTCACACATACACAAAGCCCCCACATATATACAATTACATGCACATACACACACATACACACACACACGCACACACACACGAACACACACACACACACACACACACACACACACACACACATACACACACACACACACACACACACACACACACACACACACACACACACACACACACACACACATACACACACACACACACACACACACACACACACACACACACACACACACACACAAACACAAGAGATTGTAAATTTTCAGAGAATAGGGGGGTACTTGAAGGGGAGAAACGGACCGATCAAGCTGATTCTCAGGACAGAAACAGTACGGAACAGGATCCTCCAAGAGAAACCACGGTTGAAAAACTCGGAAGAGTACAGGAAGGTGTTCCTAGACAGAGACAGAACACAAACGGAGCGACAGCAGCTGATGGAGAGGACAAAAAAGCGAAAGGAGCTAGGAAAGGAGACAAGGATGGAACCAGCAGAGGTCAGTCAGAGCAGAACAGAGCAGCAAGGGCAAGCACACACACAACTATCCTTAGAATCCCACAACCTATCACACCATCCCAACACAAACTACAATCCATACCCACAGCTTCCACCCAACCCCCAACCATAGAATCCCACAGTATGCTACCAGGTCTCCCACCCCCACAGACCCCCCAAACCACAGTGTTGGAAAGGAAACTGAAGGTATGGTACACAAATGCTGATGGAATAACAAACAAGTGGGAGGAGTGGCACGAAAGAGTCAAAGAGACATCGCCGGACATCATAGCACTCACAGAAACCAAGCTTACAGGTATGATAACAGATGCCATCTTTCCAACGGGATACCAAATCCTGAGGAAAGACAGAAGGAACAGGGGGGGGGGTGGAGGAGTTCCACTGCTGATCAAACACCAATGGAATTTTGACAAGCTGGAGAGAGGAGACAGCGGAGAAGAAAGTGATTACATAGCGGGAACGCTTCACTCTGGAGGTCCCAAGGTGGTAATTGCAGTGATGTATAACCCACCACAGAACAGCAGGAGGCCAGGGCAAGAGTATGACGAGAGCAATGGAGCGATGGTTGACACACTGGCTGCAGTGGCCAGAAGAGCTCATGCATGCGGGGCAAAGCTCCTGATCATGGGTGACTTTAACCACAAGGACATCGACTGGGAGAACTTGGAGCCACATGGGGGCCAAGATACATGGAGGGCTAAGATGATGGAGGTGGTACTGGAAAACTTCATGTACCAACACGTAAGGGACACTACAAGAGAGAGAGGAGAGGATGAACCAGCAAGACTAGACTTAGTATTCACCTTGAGTAGTGCAGATATTGAGGACATCACATATGAAAGACCCCTTGGGGCCAGCGATCATGTGATGTTGAGCTTCAAATACACAGTAGAGCTACAAGTAGAGATAGAAGCAGGAAGGCCAGGACAAATGAAACCAAGCTACAAGAAAGGGGACTACACGTGAATGAGGAACTTCCTGAACGAGGTTCAGTGGGACGGAGAACTGGCAGGGAAGCCAGTTAATGAGATGATGGAATACAGAGCAACAATGTGCAAGGAGGCTGAGGAGAGGTTTGTACCCAAGGGAAACAGGAATAATGAAAAAGCCAGGATGAGCCCTTGGTTCACACAAAGGTGCAAGGAGGAAAAAACCAAGTGTGCTAGGGAATGGAAGAAATATAGAAGGCAAAGGACCCAGGAGAATAAGGAGAGCAGCTGTAGAGCCAGTAACGAATATGCACAGATAAGAAGGGAGGCCCAACGACAATATGAAAACGGCATAGCAGCGAAAGCCAAATCTGACCCGAAGCTGTTATACAGCCACATCAGGAGGAAAACAACAGTCAAGGACCAGGTAATCAGGCTAAGGAAGGAAGGAAGGAGGAGAGACAACAAGAAATGACCGTGAAGTATGTGAGGAATTCAACAAGAGATTCAAAACAATTGTTCACAGAGGAGACAGAAGGGGCTCCAGAAAGACAGAGAGGTGGGGCACATCACCAGGTGCTGGACACGGTACACACAACCGAGGAAGAAGTGAAGAGGCCTCTGAGTGAGCTAGATACCTCAAAGGCAATGGGGCCAGATAACATCTCTCCATGGGTCCTGAGAGAGGGAGCAGAGGCACTATGTGTACCCCTAACAACAATATTTAATACATCTATCGAAACAGGGAGATTGCCTGAGGCATGGAAGACAGCAAATGTAGTCCCAATCTTTAAAAAAGGAGACAGACATGAAGCACTAAACTACAGACCAGTGTCACTGACATGTATAGTATGCAAAGTCATGGAGAAGATTGTCAGGAGAAGAGTGGTGGAACATCTAGAAAGGAATGATCTCATCAACAGCAGCCAACATGGTTTCAGGGGCGGGAAATCCTGTGTCACAAACCTACTGGAGTTCTATGACAAAGTGACAGCAGTAAGACAAGAGAGAGAGGGGTGGGCGGATTGCATCTTCTTGGACTGCAAGAAGGCGTTCGACACAGTACCACAAAAGAGATTAGTACAAAAACTGGAGGACCAAGCAGGGATAACAGGGAAGACACTACAATGGATCAGGGAATACTTGTCAGGAAGACAGCAGCGAGTAATGGTACGTGGCGTGGTGTCAAAGTGGGCACCTGTGACCAGCGGGGTCCTACAGGGGTCAGTCCTAGGACCAGTGCTGTTTCTGGTATTTGTGAACGACATGACGGAAGGAATAAACTCCGAGGTGTCCCTGTTTGCAGATGACGTGAAGTTGATGAGAAGAATTCATTCGATCGAAGACCAGGCAGAACTACAAAGGGATCTGGACAGGCTGCAGACCTGGTCCAGCAATTGGCTCCTGGAGTTCAGTCCCACCAAGTGCAAAGTCATGAAGATTGGGGAAGGGCAAAGAAGATCGCAGACGGAGTACAGTCTAGGGGGCCAGAAACTGCAAACCTCACTCAAGGAAAAAGATCGTGGGGTGAGTGTAACACCAGGCACATCTGCAGCGCATATCAACCAAATAACTGCTGCAGCATATGGGCGCCTAGCAAACCTCAGAACAGCATTCCGACATCTTAATAAGGAATCATTCAGGACCCTGTACACCGTGTACGTTAGGCCCATATTGGAGTATGCGGCACCAGTTTGGAACCCACACCTAACCAAGCATGTAAAAAAACTAGAGAAAGTGCAAAGGTTTGCCGCAAGACTAGTCCCAGAGCTAAGAGGTATATCCTACGAGGAGAGGTTAAGGGAAATCAACCTGACGACACTGGAGGACAGGAGAGATAGGGAAGACATGATAACGACTTACAAAATACTGAGAGGAATTGACAAGATGGACAAAGACAGGATGTTCCAGAGACTGAACACAGCAACACGGGGACACAGTTGGAAGCTGAAGACACAGATGAATCACAGGGATGTTAGGAAGTATTTCTTCAGCCACAGAGTAGTCAGGAAGTGGAATAGTTTAGGAAGCGATGTAGTGGAGGCAGGATCCATACATAGCTTTAAGCAGAGGTACGATAAAGCTCATGGTTCAGGGAGAGTGACCTAGTAGCGACCAGTGAAGAGGAGGGGCCAGGAGCTTGGACTCGACCCATGCAACCTCAACTAGGTAAGTACAACTAGGTGAGTACACACACACACACACACACATTGCGAGCCTAGCACTCTGGGAGGCTGCCGCGTTCCGCTATTAACCTCGTACTGCTGGGTCAGTGGCGGAATTCAATACAGAAAGAAGCAGTGAAGTTGAAACTCCTGAATTCATTGAATTTTTAACTGCATGAAAACCCTGAGTTTTGGGAACAATCTCGCATCATTTGTTTATGTATTATCATTAGACGAAACGATGGAGCTGATATATTGCTGGTCTGTTACTCGAAACATGTACTCATCTCCTTCCTTTACTGTGCATCAGGAAGCAGTGAAACTGTTCATATAGACAATTCACAAATTTCGACACTTTATCAGATATTCGTAGCTTAACAAATGTACCTCACTGCATAATTTTTTCTCCAAAATGCTGAATGAAATATTTCTGCACTCAGGTTGGTAACGAGGTTTTTGGAAGGTCTTTTTTTGATCTTGTTGATAAAAAGTAATTGTATTATCTGCAACTGTTCACTTGTAAAATTCAATAAGCTTGTGTTTCCTCGCATATTAATAAGTCTCTAATATAATAAATTAACAAAGAATTCAGTAATATTAAAATTTAGCAGTAAAACATATTTTCAGTTCCCTAAAATATAAATTTATGTATTGTTTAATCGCTGTTCTACTAATTAAGTCATCAGAATTTCCGGAAAATGAATCCGCTTCTCTTTCTTAATAATAATGATGGAAATGAGTTACAAACGACAGTTTAGTTTCAGCCTTGATCTTGTGTATTTCTGAAAGGAACTTTATATAACCTGAGAAAGGGTGTAGAATATTGTGGCGTATTGTCCAGTCAGAGTAATGTGAGAGGTAGTTTCCTTCACACCAATATTGTAGAGGTGCGTAATGCATCAAATTTGTAGGAAGCTGTATATATCTTGAAGGACTAGACGATACGCTGCACGTTGTATTTTCTTTAAGATGTTTGTGTTTGCTCCGTCGCGTGTTAACATTTCCTTCCTGCCGCCAGCGGTGTATCCACCTGAACACCGTGGACACGCTGACGCTGGATGATAGAGCAATGTCACGGAGGGACTTGCCACCCACCCACATATGCACAAATGTGACACGTTCACGTAAAGTTGTAGGCTGACACTTGCGTCGCACCCGCATATTGTTACTCTGCGGAAAAGTAATTAATATTGTCAGCGACGCTATCCAGGAACAATTAGTTAATGGACAGCAATTAGTGAATCAGCAAATATAGAAGACGGATATGATGTTTAAGTAGGATACGGTAAAATGATTGATTATCTAAAAAAAATCTAATCGGAACCAAATTGTTGAATAATGACAAACCTACGTTAAAGATGCTTTCGAATTCCCGGAAAAGTTTTCAGAGTATGTATAGAAAGGCACATGTGCAACATTTTGGAATCTTAATTTCGGAAAATTTTTGTCAGCCAATCTCGTCTATGAACTGAGGAACTGATTACCTCAGTCTCCTCCACATCTTCCACCGTTTATTTCTACAGTGAACTGAAGAAGTCACTAGCTGTCGAAACGTTCACAAGTCATTCACAAGTCTCTCGTTATTCTCCTTGTCGACTTTCTAAATTATTTATTCAAAACTAGACGTTCTTTACGAGGATAGTGAGGCTCAGGCTAGAGTATGTAGGAGAGAGGGAGATTATTTCCCAGTAAAAGTAAGCCTTAGACAAGGGTGTGTGATGTCACCATGGTTGTTCTATATATTTATAGATGGAGTTGTAAGAGAAGCGAATGATCGGGTGTTGGCAAGGGGTAGGGTTAAAAGTTAAAGAATCTAACACATAGTGCGAGTTGTCACAGTTGTTCTTTGCTGATGACACTGCTTTTGAGAGATTCTGAAGATAGGTTCCACAGGTTGGTGGATAAGTTTGTTAGGGCATGTAAAAGAAGGAAATTAAAAGTGAATGTAGGAAAGAGTAAGGTGATGAAGATAACAAAAAAAATATGTAACGGAAGATTGAATATCAGATTGGAGTGAGAGAGTATGGAGAAGGTGAATGTGTTCAGATATTTGTGAGTGGACGTGTCATCAGATGGGTCTATGAAAGATGAGGTGAATCATAGAACTGATGAGATGAAAAAGGTGAGTGGTATACTGAGGAGTCTGTGGAGACAAAGAACTTTATTCATAAAAGCAAAGAGAGGAATGTACGAGAGTATAGTTATAACAATGCACTTTCATGGTTGTGCGGAATGGGTGGTGAATGTTGCAACAATGAGACGGCTGGAGGCAGTGGAGATGCCATGTCTGAAGGCAAAGTGTGGTAAGAATATAATGCATAGAATCTGTAGCTTTTGAGATTAGGAGGAGGTGCAGGATTACCAAAACTATTATCTAGAGGGCTGAGGGAGGTTATTGAAATAGTTTGGACATTAGAGAGGCTTATCGTAAAGAAAGAGAATGACTTCAGAGTGTATTAAAATCTTTATGGGGCGAAACGGGTGGGATGTCGCCAGGAAAGGCTTGGAGGCAGTGGATATTTAGGTTGTGACGAGATTAAGATTAGCAAGGATGCATGTAGCTGTTTAGATAGGAATCAATTTAAAAAATTATTTGTTTAGGACTTTTGATGTTACTGTGAGAGTGATCGAAGGAAAGTATTTTAAGTGAATTCTAAGTGGAAAAGCAGGCGGTGGTCCCTGGAATGGAGAGTACAAATGAAGGTTTTGAAGGAGGAGCTGATTCAAGTGCATGAGTTTAAAGAACTTAGTGTAAAACTTTTTTGGCATAGACAGTGATGGAAGTGAATATGGAAGTTATTTTTATTCGGGAACCACCGGCCTGTGGTGGGAATCGCCAGTGAGGATTTAATGAGTTAAAAATAAAAAGATTTGAAATATGATATGATATGGAATATTTTTTTTTGATCTTAATATGTATATAATATATAATATAAATTATATATATATATATATATATATATATATATAATATAATATATATATATATATATATATATATATATATATATATATATATATATATATATGTTAGGTAAGACACATATGCAACAGTTAGGTATCTTTATTTCGAAACGTTTCGCCTACACAGTAGGCTTCTTCAGTCGAGTACAGAAAAGTTGATAGAAGCAGAAGATACTTGAAGACGATGTAATCAGTCCATCACCCTTAAAGTTTTGAGGTGGTCAGTCCCTCAGTCTGGAGAAGAGCATTGTTCCATATTGTTTCAGACTATGGAACAATGCTCTTCTCCAGACTGAGGGACTGACCACCTCAAAACTTTAAGGGTGATGGACTGATTACATCGTCTTCAAGTATCTTCTGCTTCTATCAACTTTTCTGTACTCGACTGAAGAAGCCTACTGTGTAGGCGAAACGTTTCGAAATAAAGATACCTAACTGTTGCATATGTGTCTTACCTAACAACCTGTCGGTATTTTATACCATTTTAATGTTCATATATATATATATATATATATATATATATATATATATATATATATATATATATATATATTATATATTATATATATATATATATATATATATATATATATATATATAATATATATATATATATATATATATATATATATATATATATATATATATATATATATATATATATATATATATATATATATATATATATATACACATTTAGATATATATGATTAAACAGAAGGGTTGAACTGACGTCCGTAAACTGACAGTCAGACCTTCTCCCATCCAGACTAACCTTGACCTGATAGTAAGGAATATTAATACCTACTGTATCGTATGCTGTCAGAACAACTCGGTCCAAGACCTTAAAAAGTAGATCTATTCTTACCCTCTCTATTCCACATCGTCCATGAGCTCATAAAATTGTATTAAAGATCTCTCCGTGATTACACAGAAGACTGGACAACGGAATGACCAACGGTCCTCAAAATTCGAATCTACCGTCCAGATCTGCCTGATATATGCCAGCAAGACTTCGACGATGATTTATCTTGTCTCATAAGAGAGCATTTTCTTAAAATATATTTCTTATTAGTCCGACTTCTCTTGATAATTCTTAGTAAAGCATTAGAAACACACACAAGAAACCAGGAACAACAACACAGGTTCAGGGTACAATATAATGCCTCTACAATGAAGAGGAAATTACTTATTCAGTTGTAGTGCAAGAATTTATTAACACATCTGGTAATACGTTCGTTTCTGAGTGTTAATTTTTCTTATTAAATAATACAAGTGGTTTAGTGCACACAAGAAAACAATGAGTAACTATTTACGTCACTTTTTTTTCTATATATTTCTCGAAATATTTACATTCATTAAAATTTCTGAATGTTAGGTCAAATTGTCTAGAAATATGAGTATAGGTTTACACGATGTTAATAGTTCAAAGAATTTTACTAAGTTTTTTTTTCCCGTTGTAGCTCTTGTTCCATAAATGTGGATTATAAAGCAAGTTGTGTTAAAACACTACTCAACTTATAAGTTTTTTATTATAATACTTTCAGAAGACGAGAAGTTTGTCAAGACCTGTCAAGATAATATATACGTGGCTATTTATAAAATAACAATGCACATCAAAAATTAATGATTTTCAGATAATTTCTTATAATAATCAAAAAGAAAGAATAGTAATCACCTAATTCTTAAAGGCAGCCTTGCACAAGAAGAAACTGGGACGGAAACAGTGCTGATATCTCGACGACGAGGAGAGGAGCGGCAAGACACCGTCAGCTGCACCTCATTATATAGGAGCCACAAACCACATGCTCACGTGCGATTGGCCAGTGTCGTGGTGTGGAATAAGCTTTAAAGTGGTGTGATTGGGTGTTGACCAAGAGAGGCGTGTCTTATGGAAATCACTATGTAATACTGCATACTTTGTTTCAATACCCTTCTCCCACACACAGATCCACACACACAACAGGATGTTCCAGAGATGGGACACAGCAACAAGGGGCACAGTAGGAAGCTAAAGACTCAGATGAACCACAAGGATGTTAGGAAGTATTTCTTCAGTCACAGAGTTATCAGAAAGTGGAATAGCCTAGGTAGTGATGTAATGGAGGCAGGATCCATACATAGCTTTAAGAAGAGGTATGAAAAAGCTCACGGAGCGGGAAGAGTGACTGGGTAGCGGCCAGGTGAAGAGACAGGGCCAGGAGCTGTGATTCGATCCCCGCAACTACAACTAGGTGAGTAACTAGGTGAGTACACATACACAAACACATATGAGCACACAAACACAAACACACACACAAACAAACACACAAACACACACACTCACATACATAGACGATACTGGAGGACACCAGAGATAGGGGGATATGATAACGACATATTAAATACTGGGAGGAAACGACAAGGTGGACACAGACAGAATGTTCCAGAGATGGGACACAACAACAAGGGGTCACAGTTGGAAGTTCAAGACTAAGATGACCCACAGGGATGTTAGGAAGTATTTCTTCAGTCACAGAGTTATCAGGAAGTGGAATAGTTTGGGAAGTGATGTAATTGAGGTTGGATCCATACATAGCTTTAAGAAGAGGTATGATAAAGCTCATGGAGCAGGAAGAGTGACCTAGTGGCGACTAGTGAAGAGGCGGGGCTAGGAATCGACCCATGCAACCAGTATTAGGTGAGAACAATTAGGTGAGTGAACATACACACACACACACACACAGGAGCTGTGAGCGGGGCCAGGAGCTGTGAATCGACGCCTGCAAACACAGCTAGGTGAGTACAAACACACACACACAGACTTATACACTCATACAGACCCACACACACAGACTCTCACACATAAGCAGGCCCACATACACACACACACACACACACACACACACATATGACTCGGGGCCAGGAGCCATGACTCGACTTCTACAACAACATTAGATGAGTGCACACTCACACACACACACGCCCTCTCTTTCTCCTCCTCCTCCCTTTTTTTTCTCTCCCCCTTCTTTCCCACTTTCCCTCCCCCTATTTCTCCCTCTCTCTCTCCTTCTTTGCTTTTTCCTATCTCTCTCTTCCTCTCCTTCTCTCTCCCCTACCTCCCCTCTCTTTCACTCCATCTCTCTCCGGATTTACCACTGTCTTCCCTCCCGCTCTCTGTCCCTCTTCCCGTCTCCCTACTTCCCTTCCTCTGCCACACAAGATGA